ATCAGCCAACTAGGCTGTCACTCCGTCACTCAGCCGGCTGGCTCCTCATCCAAACAGCTAGACCAGATCGCCCCAGCAGCTAGACCGCCTCCTTGAGCAACCCAAAGACATGGTGAGCAGGCCCTCTCTTCATGGTGCGCTCTGGACTGCGCCGATACTTGAAGACTGACGTCTCGCACCTGGAGAATGAAACCAAAGATCCACAGTGAGCCTAGACAAACACGTCATAAGAAAAAAAATCATAAAAAAACAACACAAACTGAACTAACACAAAACAATCTTTATTATAGCAGTGGTATATACAACGCGAACAAACTCTAAGCAACACATATCCAAGGTCCAAACGGGCATACACCTGAGCTGATTCTTCAACGGACCATGCGGTGGTGGAGTCCTTCGATTGGGTAGACGGGTGGGGATAAGAGGGTGGGCAAATAGGTGTGTGTGGGTGTGTGTGGGTGTGTGCGGGCGTTTGCGAGGCCATGGGGCCTGACCTGACGGAGCATGATGTGGGCCAGGCCGGTGTGTTCTAGACAATGGCTTGGGAGGATGTTTTTGATGAAAATAAAGAAGAAATACCTCTCAAGCTGGCCAAGAGTCTGGCCGCCTGTAGCTTAGGGTGCAATCAGGTAAGTTAGATAGCTAGATAGCATATAACTACTTAATAAAGAAGTAAAAGTAAGAAGCTGCACTTAATCCAAAGAACTTGTGTCATCTCTTTTAACACACCAAGACTCTAGTAGGAGTATATCTGTGACGTTGTGCTAGCGTTGAAGACAAATCATTGTGAGTAATGTGGCCTGGAGCGATATCACCACCAGAAGAGATTTGTCACTAGAAAGCAAAGTAGCGGCGACTTCCGCTTTTTTAACCGTTTGTTTTGAGATTCAACTTGGATCTCTCACACATTAGGAGGTACGTCTGTCCATGGTTTCTTCTACAAAACAGGTTGAGCTCGACCCTAATATGATATAGGTAAATTTAACTTGTCAAATATCTAAAGAGAAATTGTTCATTGATTTGCAATGGGTGTGTGCGCGAAAGATAACCTTGTCTCATATCAGATTGAGAGGAGTTTAATGAGCGTTTATGACATGTATTTTTTTTTATAAAACCTATCAGTTTGCAAATAAGGAGATGGTGCATTCGTCTAGAGCAAGTCTTCAGGTATAACGGGTAGGTACTCTACTTTATTGTTCATGGGTTTAGAGTAGAGAATAACCAAAATGACAATGAATGAAAAGTATAATGAAGTTGGTTTAGTTCAGCTAATGAACCGTTTCAAGAGTGCAATAAAGAGTGTCGTTACTCTTGTGCTGTGTAACCAACTGATCCCCCACGAGAGCTGGTGGCTGATGTTGTTGTTGCTGTTGTTGTTGAGAATGATATGATTGTGCAGCTGCAGCCTGCTGTTGCTGGTACTGAACGTACTGTTGAAACTGCTCTGGGGACATGACTGGTAGATTGAGGCACCGTCGATCGCATGAGCATATCCTGCCAATCCTCCTGCGCTTTGAGCGTAATACTGACTGTATTGATCATCATAGTTTCAGCCTATATATATATATAAACCATCAGGATATTGATATTTATAAAATAACTCTTCTTTTGCAGTTATCTCGCCTTCCAACTTACGTTGGGTGCAGGATCCTCGCGCGCGGATGATCTTTTTGTTTTAGGTGGTTCCTCTCGAGGACAATATCAATTAAAAAGTCGAATTGATCTGACCGTGAGACCGCGCTGGCGACGTCGCTCCTCTGTAATGTCCTTCTCTTGTTTTCTTCCGCATGCATCCAAGCACGCCGTGTGATTTCACAAATGAAAATCTCGCACGCTTTTGAAAACAGTATAGGTGCTTCCGCTGAAATCATCTTTTTATAACCAAAAAAAAAAAAAAAAAAAAAAAAAAAAAAGAATTAGATTGGTTTATTTAGCCCAGTTTTTTCTCTCTCTCTATTCCACTCTGTATTCCTCGAGATATTCTTAGTTGCGTAATATTACCTTAACCTCAGGATCAGATTTCATGACCTTTTTGATACGCGCCAGCGGTAATGGATGGACTTTATAATCAGAATCAAACTGTTCAGCAGCAATAACCTGTTCCTCCCAAAACTCCTGTGCAAACTGTTGCTGTTGCTGCTGAACTGTCACAGAACCTTGAGCCGAGGACGAGGCACCCGTAGAAGCAGAGGATGTGCTGGATGTCGGTTGTTTCATGCATATCAGGCACTTTGTGGGCCATACTTTTTTTTTTTTTTTTTTTTTTTTGATTTGTGATAAAATAATAGACGGTCTTTCTCTTAAAAAAATGCTATTGGCTGAAAGAGGTACAGCAAAGTTCTTGCGTGTGAATTCTTGAATCCGAAAAGGATGTGTCTAGCGCAAAATGTCGAAAGAAACAAAAAAAAAGGCAGAAAGCAATGGTTAGTGCAATGAGAGCAGGTGCAAAAAGTGCAAAAGTGCAATAGTGCAAAGTGCAAGGTGTTCAATGTGTTAAAAAGGATGAACTTTTTTTTTCTGTTCTTATCCTTCAGGGACACTCAAGGAAAAAAAAAAGCCAGGCCAGGCGCTGAATTCACGTGACCAAGATGCAGCAAACCAAGCCAGGATATCAGAAAGTTGAACACCAAATGTACCATGAAATGTGCTCTATTCCCACACAGACGTTTTCATGCACCAAATGGCGCTATTCACATCCTCAAGGATGATGTTTGAAGATCATACAACATTTGATTTTTTTATTCCTCAAACTTCAATACAAAGGGCTATTGCGGATGGCCAGGTTTCCTAAAAGATTTATGAGACAGTTGTTTCAGAAATATTCTTCATCCATGCGAAGCAATTTCAGGGGTAAGAATGGTTACTCAGCCTCAGATTTGAATTCACATACTTTTGTCTTAAATGAAGTGAAGAAAGTCGAACCTTTTTATCTTATGAGCTTAGTTTGAATATTGTGTGTTTTTTTTTTTTTGTCATGATGGATGTCAACGGACCAAAATATACCCTATTCGGATCAACAATGTTGCTCATGTTGGTATAAGCGCAATGGCTATGTCACTGAAATTGAGAAAGAGAGCATCCGAAGGGACAAAGTTGTTGCTGACATTAATATTTGACCCGATAATAGACAAGGTTCCAGCCTACATCATTTTTTAATTAAAAAAAAAAAAAAAAAAAAAAAAGTAAAGGCATTAAGAATAGTTGTTTGAGTGAACGTGTAGGGATTCGTCTTCGGAAGTAATACTTTATTTAACTTCATGTTGGGCAAAGAGGATTGGGCTTTGTTGTGCAAAGCTGTGCCTTCAAGCTCAGAGAAAGGAAAAGAGGATTGAGCATGCCACACTTCTCGCTCTCACATTCTTCTCTCTCTCACTCACTCTCTCTTTTTTTTTTTCTTTTTCTTTTTCTTTTTTCTATTTCTTCTCTTTCTCTCTTTACTCTTCACTCTTCACTCCCCATTTCTTCTTTGATTATTTGACCTGCAATCGTCATTACTCTGGTTCATCTATTCTGAGCGTGCATTTTACTGTTAAATCTAATCTGTGCTCCAAATAGTTTATTTATTTATTTATTTTTTTTTCAGACATGAGCCACTACTCACAATCTAGTGACTCAACTCGTCCACTTAATCTCAGCGCTTTGCTTGCGGAAGAGCAGCAGCGACAGCACATGAAGCAGGTTGAGGGTTTGACAAAACTCCCCGATGCGCTTCTCCAAAACTCGACGATACAAACGCCATAGCCCCCAAACACCAGAATCGTTGCAGAAGTTGGACCGGGTACGCTATTGGCCGTGTCGTGAAATACAGAAAGAGCGACCCGGGCGCACTACAAACCCCTATTCAAGAAGAGAGCCAGTCTAGTCCGACACCCAGAAGCGGAACCAGCAGCAACGTCATCAGCATTGGTACTCATACTTCCTACCATCCCAATTCCTTCGAAGTGAAAGCTCAGAAGTAGTACTGACCTACTTCAAGCACCAGAGCCAGCTGTAGGTTTTTTTTTTTTTTTTTTTTTTTTTGCAAAAATGACGTACAGTCCGTGAGAAGAAACTAACTTTTTTTTTTTTTTTATATTTTTTCAACTTACAGTACCTCCTCGCCCAGCAATTCCACCTAGAAAGCTGACAACAATAGATCATGCTGCAAATGCTTTCACTAACTCTTCCGTGGTAAAATCTGGAGACGATAGAATTTACAGTTGAATCCTTGGCTGTGACAGGCGCAGCAGCCCCAGCATTTTTGTTTCAAAAAGATGAAAAAGGGCGCAGCCAGTAAGTTTTTTACTCTAGTTGGAGGAAGCCCTTGAGTATTATCCATTACATCTGTTGCAACCGTTTCGGTGCATGTCTTTATGACTCTCTGGACAATGATTTGTTTCTTTCCTGAGCTATGACATTTTCCCTCTACAGTCTAGTAAAGGGGTGCCCAAAACTGGAATATTTTTGTCATTTGACTTTGACAACCAACATTTCTGATCAGAGACATATTTATCATGCTATTCAACGTCGTGATTATGTCATGAGCAAGTTCGCTTGATGAACGTTCGCAAAGAAAAATCCAACTCAATTAACCTGACCCTCTAATTTATCATTTCCTGTATAGCCACCCATCCTTTTTCAGCTGATTTAAGGTATGGTTCATTTTGGCATCAAGTAAAAAATTTACGTTAAAGATTTGTACCTTTCAACAAGGGTTTTAGTACTGACCCTATTATCTCTGTCTGAATTGTATCGTTAGCTCGGTATTGTCGACTCGGAATCAGATCCTGGGGCTGGAATACATATGATCTTCCGCGTTGAGTTCAATATGGAGATATCAAATGGTTATCCGTCGAACACTTTACGACTCTATAAACTGCACCTGACTTTAACAGCCAAGCGATATCGAAACATACCAGATTCCCTGACAGGTCTGATTAACTGCCAATGTAATGGTTGCCTTCGTTTTTTTATTGCAAATATTTGTCTGACCGGAAACTGGGCTATTGGTGTGTATAGGTAGCATGGGCGTTGTTGTTTTCAAGGACACAGCTGTAAGGGAGACAAACTTGGCTCGCCGCAACTACAAATTACCTCTTGCAGTGATGCAGGCGCTCAATGGCACAGTTGCTATGATCTTTACGAGTTCCTTGAGATTTCAGCATTGTCGCTAACCAAAGATATGGGTTGGAAAGGTAAAGAGGGTACGTGGAAACCAAAGTCGTCGATATTACCAAAACATTCTGTGGAATACCATAGAATTCTCGGAGTACACTCGATCATGGGCTATCCTTCGCGATTCTTATATGGCATTTTTGCCTGATATTAGCTCAGATGATGTTCGGACGTGTTCATCTTTGATCAAAACTTTTATGTTAAGCATAAAGAACAGGTCCTTGGCCTTAATTTGCATCATATTGAGATTGGAAACATGCATCGCAAGGTTGAGATGAAAGGCGGGTATAACCGAGAGATGATTGAGTGGGTGGATCACATCAAAAAGATGGAGCAAGCAAGCCCTTGGGTCAAGAATCACCGCTTTGATAGCTTCGCACCTGAACGTGAGGATGCAAAGATTCGCTATTATGTTGATGGCAAGGACTACTTTCATGCAGTTTCAGATGCCATCCTGGCGGCCAAAAACGAAATTTATATTGCGGACTGGTGGCTGTCTCCCGAATTGGTAATTATCTTGTTTTTATTTTTTTAGGTTGCAGCTGACGTTCGATAAAACTATAACCAACTTTTAATGATTTTACATTATCCCAACTTTGTATTTTTGTAAAAAGTACCTTCGGCGTCCACCTGAGAAAAACGAAGAATTTAGGTTGGACCGATTGCTCAAGAGGAAGGCGGAGGAAGGTGAAGATATACGTAGTTGTTTACAAGGAGATCTCGCTTGCTTTGACACTGGATTCTGCCCATACTAAGACCTGGCTTCAAGACCTTCATCGTAACATTCAGGGTATGTATTCATTCAGACCTTTGTGGGTACTACCAAAAGAACAATAACTCATTGGTCTTGTACATTATGTAAAAAACATTATTTCAATAGTTCAACGCCATCCTGATCATATTGGTGTCAATGCTACTCAGTTTTGGGCCCATCACGAGGTTAGTGATTTGCTTTACATGTCAGGACTCCTCTACTATCTTTGAGATCCAAAGCTAAAGAATAGGCAAATCTTAATTTCGCATCATTTTAGAAAATCTGCGTGATTGATTGTCGTTTGGCTTTCATTGGTGGTCTCGATCTTGTTTTGGAGATATGATAGTAGAACTCACCAGCTATCAGACTATCACCCTTCCGGAAGTGGAACTATTTGGCCAGGTCAAGATTATTCCAATCCGCGTATTAAGGATTTTGTCAATGGTACAGTGACTCTTTAGCCCTTACAAAAATGGGGGCAGCACACTTTTTTTTTTTTTTTTTTTTTTTTGCATTCAAGAGCGTGAACTGATTCGACTTTGTTTATCATAATCCTTGTCTTATATTAACAGTAAAAGAGTACCATAGTGATCTGATTGAGCGTAAATTGCTTAGTCGTATGCCATGGCATGATGTCTCGATTGGTGTTGCAGGTCAACCCGCTCGGAGATATTGCACGCCACTTTGTTCAAGCGTTGGAATTTTGTGAAGCGTGAAAAGGGTATGAAAAAAACACACATGAAGTTCTTGACCCCCAAGGGAGAATTCGTCAGCACACGCAACGAATCCGGTTGGACAGGCACGCAAAAGGTTCAGATTCTTCGAAGCAGCACCACTTGGTCGCAAGGTGTGGATTTGGAGCGTTCAATCCAAAATGCTTACTTATCCTGCATTGAAAACGCAGAACACTTTATTTACATTGAAAATCAATTCTTCGGTAAGATGATGTTTGTATTCATTGACTCTATTATGGTGGTCATCTACTCCGCCATTCTGTTTCAATTGTTAATCGGTTACTTTGTTGTTCCATTTAGTCACCCTTGCTGTGGAGGATGGCAACCCTGAGCTCAAGAACACTATTGGAATAGCCATAGTGAATCGCATTATTAGAGCACACAGTAAGGGCGAAAAGTTCCGAGTGATTGTCATGATGCCACTTATGCCTGCATTCGAAGCTGACATCATGGCAAGCGAGGCAGGCACTTTACGCAAAGTCATGCATTTCCAATATATGTCCATTTGTCGTGGAGGGAACTCTGTGCTGGAACGATTGGAGGCTAATGGCATCAACCCAGACCAGTATATCGGCTTTTATGGGCTTCGTAGTTTCGACCGCATCAAACATGGAAAGTTTGACGCAATTCTAGAAGCAGTTAAAGAGGCTGAGCTTGAAGGAGTACTATTGTCTTCTGGTCAAACTGGGGAGACTGCTGATTCGGTTGATACTCAGGAGAAGGGCAGAGTACAGGCCGGTTCTAGTAAGAATCAACACCCTCGGGCTCCAGTCACTCCATATCTCTGCAGACGAAGACAAACAGGTCAAGGCTGCAGAGGGCGGTGAAGTAAAAGAACGCAAGTCACTTGCTTCGAAGTTTCTTCTCGACCCTATTCCGCGTGATAAGCGGGCAGAGCGTATGAAGGCAATAGCATAGGCGTAGGGCTCAAGACAAGCATAGAAGATGGGATGAGAGCATTACAAACGAGCCATGGGTATGTCCGAAGAGAACATGGATTCATCCCTGCAGCCACCGAGAGGACTTTGAAGGACAAAAGGGAGCTGAAAAGGCCCGTAAGGATACGAAGAAAAAAAGAAAAGGAGGCTAAGAAACATCATTATAAGGGGAACTACTGAGAACAGCGAGCCACATGTGGCCGAAGGTTTAGGCACGCAAATCCGAAATGTTGTGAATACTCTAAAAGGCAAAAGGAAGAGGCGATCTAGAGCCCAAGCATCACAAGATTACGCGCAATCCTATCTTTGATAGGTCTGGAGCAATAAGAACCATACGCCTTCATATACAGATGGTTCTAATATTGATGACGTCAATGATCAAAATGATTGAAAAGGCTAAAGAGGAGTCTGAGATGATTATCGAGCCTGCACCAAAAGAGAGCAATGCATCTCAATCACCTGAGAACGCTCCTCTCCCTATCAGCAACAGTAGTAGTAGTGGCAGCAGCTCGAAAACCAAGGACGATGATGACTCATTAATCGAAGATAACGAGGTGGATGACTTTGTAACAAGCAATTATATGTCCACAGCAAACTGATGATTATCGATGATCGAATAATTATTATTGGATCTGGTAAGTTCCTGAGCTTTTTTTTTTTTTTTTTCTCTTTCGTAAATGATCATTGAGCTGATATAACGCTTTTAACTTTACATAGCAAATATTAATGACCGCTCTCAAGTTGGATATCGTGATTCAGAGATTGCTATTATAATTGAGGATACGGAGATGGTTCCTTCCAAGATGAATGGAGAAGAGGTAAGGGGAAAAAGTTCGTGTCGTTATCATGATCACAGCTTAATAGCATCAGCACAGTTACTCATATCTCTTTTTTTTTTTTTTTTTTTTTTAAAAAAAAAAAGTACCAAGCTGGAAAGATTGCACACGCTCTCCGAACAGATCTGTTCAAAGAGCATCTGGGATTACTACCTCACGTTGAGCATGATGTTGTAACTCAAGCAAGTGTGTTGCCTGTTGATCTTGAAGCGCCAAGCAAGGACCTGCGCTTGTATGTAAGGAGCTTATTGCTGATTCGCTTACAGAGCAGCAGGAGGAAAAAGTCCATGTACCATTTGGTCACGGAGGTTTTACAAACATCGACGCAGATGAAGAGGATTCGAAGGCATTCAGCAATGGCATGCAAAGTTATCGGATAGTAAGGTCAAGCAAGATCCCAAGACGGCGGATCAAATTGTCATGGACCCACTGCACGACGATTTCTATGTGAATTGGTGGAAGCGGGTTGCGAACCAAAACACATTGATTTTCCGAGAGATCTTTCACTGTGTTCCAGATCAAACTGTGGAAACGTGGGATGAGTACAAAGCATTTATTCCGGACAATAAGAAAGTATTGACAGGACATGTGGTCATGGAGGGAGCAACGGTAGAGAATGTGACTGAGAAACTTCAGGGCATCACTGGACATTTAGTGGAGTTTCCAACAAGGTTCTTGTGTAAAGAAAATTTGCTGGGTAATATTGTTGAAGGCGCGGTGACGCCGCTGGAAATCTTTACTTAGACAACTTGATATGCTACCTATTTATACCATGTAAATTCCGAACGATCATGTTAGTCAAATGAGAAAGGGATTTTGTAATCTAGACTTTTTGTTTTATTATTTATTTTTATAAATGACCTTTAGCTGGATAATGATCTCGAGGTACGCACAGTTTACTTCAAAAATGTCAGGACGCTATCTGTGACAGCACAGACCCATGTATGAGAGTTGGGTTGTCCAACAATAAAGCCATTTTCACTGGAGGCTCCGAAAAGATTGGAAATAAAGGTGTTGTCTGTATTCTTCTGATTTTGTTCCGGCGATTGTGATTGTTCCTCAATGTGTTGTTTGGATCTGATATAGAAAATCTGAAAGAACCTATGGATATCATTAAAAAAAAAAAAAAAAAAAAAAAAATAGGATATTCTTTCCCAGATCAGAAGTTTGATATGATTTGGAAATATTATTCTCAATCATCAACTTCGTTTTTTTTTTTTTTTTTTTTTTTTGTTATACCTTGAGTATACTCAGCTGAGAGTCATAATGACCATGTGCTTGAGGCTCTCGTGATGAATAAACTGAACCCATTGTCCAACACTAAGATCATGGACAGTACAACAGCCATATTTCCTTTGGCAGGATCCCTCCAGTGATTTTGTACACTGTCGCCTTTTGCTATACATACACATACGCAGAGAGAAGGAAAGAACATATTAGGGGTTTTTTTTTTTGCTAATATTTTTAATTTTGCCAACAGTTGATTGGAACAGACGAGGCTTTTGGACTTTTTTTTTTTTTTAAAAAAAAAAAAAAAAAAAAAGCAATGTCACATACCATGTCGATATCTATATGCTGACCTTGGTTTGCGTTGGTGATTTCACCGTTTGTAAAAAGTACTCCTTGTCCTTGGTTAATGTGTGGTTTGTAATCGATCCAATAATAGTCGAGTGGCATTAGACTCATCTAATTCTAAAATGATGTTGCCACGAACCTAAAATAGAGAAGAAAAAAAAAACCCCATTCGATGGTAAATAACAATAATAATAGCAATAAAATTAGCAAAGCATCCTTTTTTTTTGAGGGGGGTTATCGTTGTTTGTTGTTGTTCTTATACCTGGTAATCCGCATAGCGGGCCCTAAGGGTGCCATGGACGGATAACTTATAGAGGTCCGTGATGTTGCTGTTACTGTTGCAGCATTCCTTACACTTTATATCGAAACACCAGGACACCATCCTGTACGATCTTGCATCATAAACATTGTCACAGGTTTCCCAGTAATAAACGGGGTTGAGCTTGCCAAAATGCCCAGTTTATTACATCTGGGTTCGCGGTATCCAGGGCTTCCAGAAATTGATGCACCTCTAGATCAGAAATCATGAAGATATCTTGAGATATGGTGATGGTGATGACAGTGCTTTGAAAGACGACGAAGACGATGGGAGAGCAACTCTAGGGACTTGAACTTGATTCCTGCCAGTTGAAATACTTTTAAACGCCGACCAGGATCTGCAGTATCCAAGCTTCGCTCTTCAATGTCCTGAGGGCGAGCCCATTTACCCCTGATTTTTCTTTCAATCTTTTCCGACGAGATTCTGGACCAGACACGATAAAATGGTTGACAGGAAATGATCAAGGGATCTGTAGGGTCTAAGGAGTTGGTAGGCAGAACAGGAGGGTCGGGTGTGAGTGTGAGTGTGGAGACACCATGTCCAGATTTTTGTAGGAACTCGATCGACGACTGCGCCGAGAATGAAGGATGATTTAGAGACATGGTCCGGGAGTTTTGAAGGTAACGAGAGCAGATCAGACCTGGATAAGATCTGGAAGCCAGGATGATCGTTATTGAATCCTTCTGACCCTGAGCATTGGACAAAGAGGCAGTCGTATTTGCCTTATTAGCAGTTGGAAGGCAACGAGACAAAGCTGTGGATAGATCAGGATCAGAACAGGTTGCAGCAGTCCAGAGTGTCTTCCTGTTGGAATAAATATGATTGCACAAGACTTGAGACCGAAGTTTTTTAACAGCTGTTGTTGTCGTTATTGATGCAACACGCGTAACGTTCCTTGTTAACTGCATAGTTTTTGTTGATTAGGAGAGGAGGAAAGTACGGATTTAAAAAAAAAGTGGACTGCTCCTTTTATTGGAAATGGAGCCTTGAAATAATGCATCACTTTTTTAATGTCTTTTTAGCTTTTTTGCAAACGCGCTTGTTGTATAATCTCATAAAACATGGCAACGGGAACGGCACAGATGGCAGCATCTACCAACTCTAACAATGCAGACATCAACCTACTTAATGTGGAATGGCGCTTTCATGAGTGGATCATGGTATCTTTTTTTTTTTTTTTTTTTTTTTTTAAAAAAAAAAGAGGAATGTAAAAGAGATCATGACAAAGAGGAGACAAAAAGTAAAGTAACTGGATATTCTCTATTTATTTTTTTTTTTTACTACTCAGGGTGTTGGTGGACTCAACCCGGACAATGTACTTGACTACTTTGCTCAGTCACCATTCTGGGATCCTGAATGCAATAATGCAGTCCTAAGGATGCAAACCCAGTTCAATAACCTTGGTGAGATGAAGCAACGCTTAAGGTACTTTTTCCTTTCCTTTATTTATTTATTTTTTGAATAGTTAGAAAAAAAAAATTGTACTCACAATATTTTATTATGGGGGTTCAAAGTGAAATGACTGGTGTTGAGTTCGCGCTTGTATTGGAAAGATATCCAACATTGTTCGTCATTCAGAAGCAAAGGCGAAGGAGTCCACATGAAGGTAAAAAAAAAAAATACAGATCAAATTATTATTATTGCTATTATTATTATTGTTATTGTTATGATTATTTGTACTGACTCCTTTTGATGCTAACGTATTCTATGAGTTGGCCTCCTGTTTAGTCAAGCCCATAGCGATATACTATGTTCTTCAAGGCAGTATTTATCAATGCCCCGATCTTCAAACTTTGCTTTCAAATCGAATCGTAAGCTTTGATCCTATATTATATTTCATTTCATTTTTTTTTTTTTTTTTTTTTTTTTTCTTGTTTGCCTCCAATGTAATGCCTGACTTCAAATATTTTCTCTCTCTCTTTTTTTTTTTTTTTTTTTTTTTTTTTTTTTTTTTTGAATTTTGAATTTTGGATTGTGAGCAGCTTGGAAGCCTGCACCTTGTCGAAGCTGCTTTCAATGAGGCCAGAGTCATGACAGAGTTTCATCCATCAACAGGTTATCATTGGAAATCGGTTCTTCCCCCTGAATCAGGAACTTCAGCACCAGGTATCGCCTCAACATCTATAATACCATCTACCACCTCAACTGTATCAGGAACTCAAGCAGGTACTTTTGGAAAGGAAAAAAAAAAAAAAAAAAAAAAAAGAATCAGTCATACCATACCTAAAGGCTTTTTTTTATTCTTACATGCCTTCAATTTCATATTCGACTTTTGTGAAAAAAAAAAAAAAAAAAAAATGGAATTGTAGTGTCACAAGAGTTCAGGGTAGCAGTAGACTATGCTCTTAATACAGTAGAGTTACGAGCACAGCAGAAGCTACAAGCACCCATATCTAGTGGCGCAGGATCATCCTCCACCAGTGCTGCAACTGTAGCGGATTCAAAAGTCAAACAGGAAAATGGATCTGCAGCTGCTGTTAGTAGTGCTGTTGCGACATCGAAAAGTAATCCTAAGGCAAATACTAAAAGACGGAAAAAAAGTGAAGAGGCTTCAGCTGCAGCCGCAAGCATGGGCATAAATACCAATGTTGGTGGTGTTGGAACCTCACAAGGCCGCCATCTACGGCAGGAGGTCCAAATTTTGCCACAGGTGGCCCTGCTACTCCTGTAGCGACACCAACCAAGAGACGGAAAAAGACAAAGACTATTGATCCAAAACAATAAAGGACAATTGCGTTTTAATATTGACAATGCATTCATACTACCGGTGTAATTACTTTGTATTTTGGTGATGATGTTTTTTATAAAAATGATATTTTATTTTGGAGACATTTTTACTAAAAAGAATGTATCACTTCTGTTGCGCATCCTGCACTCCATGTTTACCACTTTGTTGACTTTTTCTTCTTCTTCTTCCTCTTATTAGGTGGACCATGTGTAGATGGGGGATCTTCGCTCAGTTGTGTCAAAAGAGTGGATGTTGAAGTCGACTTTGGTATCTCACTCGAGGAAGCAGTTGGCTCAACAACCTCTGTGGTTGGTGGATCTAGTACAGGTGTTTGCGCTTCGTGAACAGCTGGTACTACAGTTGAAGGTGGTGATGTTGAGAGCATTTTGGTGTCAGTGATTGTATCAGACTCAGCAGGCGTATTCGATGTGATTACGGCGGTTGAATCGCCTACAATAGGCGATATTTCCTCTGTCACCTTGGGGGTTTCGGCATCTGGCTTTTTGGCGACCTTGGCGGCCTCGGCGCCCTCAACAGCGGCTATAACAGTCTCTGGGGGATTAATCGAGTATGTACCTGTAGGCTCAGGGACCTCAATAACAACCGAACGTTCTCCCTCTACTTCCTCTTCTAGTTGAGCTGACTCTTGGGTTGGCTTGAAAACTTCTACATCATCCTTGAAATTGACAACATGATGTTCGCCTTCTGTAGACCCTGCAGTAGTTGTATCCTTGGTGGCAGAAGAATTCTCAGCAGGTACGGCTCCAGTAGCGCCGTTGGCGGCGGTTACTGTAGTACTTGGCTGAGTGTTGGCTGCAGTATTGGTCGCTGTCGTGGTATCGAGCAAGGCAGATGAATTCTTACGGGAAGCCGAAAGGATAGTTTTTCCACTATCATATATTTACTATCAGCAGGCATAGTTACTGTGCGCGCACTTGCAGTTGAAGAGTTATGACCCAGCAGAGGCGTAGACTCATTGAGTGCTGGTGACTGGAGTAGGCTTTTGAGGTTCTTGAGCTTGCTAACGTTGCGAGAGGGTTTACGGATAACCTTGATTTTGTTGTGGACATCGACATAGACATCAGACTCATCCACGATCTCCTCCCCCAAAAGCTCTTCAATTACATCTTCAAGCGTAATCACACCCACAGGATCTCCAAATCCGCCGGGCTTTGATGTGACAATAGCCATGTGTGACCTTCCCTCTTGGAAGAAGTTCAAGATATCAAGACAACTGGTATTGGGGGCAGCTTCCGGGAGGGAGTTGAGAGTGAATTGGCGTACAGGAGTATGGTCTGCGGGATCATAGGTGATTAGACGTTTGACAAGTAACATACCAATAAAGTTATGAGCGTCATCATGCCTATAGACTGGAATACGAGAGTAGCCAGCTCTAAGGATATCCTCTGTGAGTTTTTTCATCCAAAATGGCATCCTCACTCAAAGTAAAGACGTCTTCTAAGGGGGTCATCACTGCCGAGACAGCTTTCTCCTTCAAGTCAAGCACTGAAGCAATGATAGTGACCTCATCATCTGTGAGCTCGCCGATCCCATCGACCTGATGCAGCGATACTAATGTCTTGAGCTCAGTTCTGCGATACGTTGTTCCATGGTGAACACCTAGCCAATAATCCAAAAGCATTGCAATCGGATAGGCCACAGGCGACATAATATACATGAGCACCAGCATGGGCTTGGAGCAGAATGATCCGATTGCCAGTCCATGACGCGCACACACAGCCTGAGGGATGATCCTAAAGATAAGACAATAGACAAGCAACAAAAGATATATTAAAAATAAGAATATTGAAAGAACCAGGGTTTAAATGAACTTCTTTTCAAGCGATATTTCTCCAGGCTTTTTAGGAACATACTCTCCAAAGACAACAATCAACAGGGTCGAGATTAGAATGGCAATGATACCACCGCCAAGCTCCGAATCAAGCACCACTGGCAAGGACTCATTAACGATAACGTTGCCTAGAAGTAGTGTCACTATTGAAGTAAACACGTGAATGAATATAGGTTAGTCTTCATAAAAAAAAAAAAAAAAAAAAAAAGTTTATATAAATAATACAAAAGAAGGAAAGGGCATGAAGGAAGATGGAATTTACCCAAGACCCAGTGCTTTCCACGGGATAGGAGCTTATAGACTTTCTCTGCATGGATGCGTTCTTTAGGAGAACCTGCCACCATCAGGACATGCAAGTTAGTTTCATCCAGACCCATCAATCCGATCGTCAAGCCTAATAAATAATGATAGCAAAAAGCAAAAAGAAAATACACGTTAATAAAACTGCTTTGTACATGGATAGTTCTTTACCTCTCCTTCCCTCTTTTTTTTTTTTTTTTTTTTTTTCCTAGATCAAACAAAACATTGGTATACTTTTTTTAAAAGACTTACCAGCAAAGATCCCTCCAATAAGTACCAACCCTACGATTAGTGCCATTTTGAGCCAAAACTCAGGAGTAGAAGCATCCTCGCCTTCGCCTTCGCCTCCGTGCCCACTTTTTGAGGCGGTGGTTTTTCCGAATAGAGATGATGATCCATATTGGTTACAGTTGCTATTGTCACCTTGACGCGACCAAGCCAGGAGAGTCTCAAGGAGAATAAAAGGTTGATGAAAAAAAACATAAAGAACTATTTCTTGGCACCAAGAGCGCGTTGAATGTTACGGCGCTCACGACAGGATCGAGCATTAGCACAATGTCCTTCTCCATGGTAATGGCGACAGCATGAGGTTTTGTCGCTGTTGATCCATAGTGAAGAACTTGAGACTCCCTTTCTTTTGTCTTTATGGATGAGGAAGAGAAAAAATGAAGAAAAGAAGGAAGAAAAAAAAAAAAAAAAAAAAAAAGAAAGACTAAAGACCTAATCAAAGATGAAGAAAAAAAAATTATGGAGTAAGCTCGCGTGAGAGTGCAGCTGGTGTGAAAAGTGAATGAGACAGGAGAGAGGCGGATGTGGGTCTGTTTATTAGCAGTGTTAGCTTATTTTTTTCAGTTCGTCATGCGCACTGCTAAAAAAACACACAACAAGCAAGTAACGAATAACAGTCGTCTATTCGAATAATGCTTACAGAAATACAAATAAACGTCAAGAGCAACGGCCAAGACTCAACAATTGGACGTCCTTTATACAATGAATGACACTTCTTCTTTTCATTTTATTTTTTCTTTATCGTTTTATTAAGAAAATTCATTTCATTGAAAGTCTATGGATCTTACATTTCTCTATCCATTTCAACAAAAAAAAACTTCAATCCAATCAAAAATAAAATGAAAAGCAAAAAAAAAAAAAAAAGAAAGAGGCATAAAAAACTGGTCGTTCGGTCGTGTCATAAAAATACAATACAGGGAATAGGCTAAGCTTCTCGACGAGGGTCATCACGATCTGAAAATGCTAGAAACA